CACAGCCCCACAGCATGATGGAACCACCACCAAATTTAACTGTGGGTAGCAAGTGTTTGTCTTGGAATGCTGTGTTCTTCTTCCACCATGCATACCGCCCCTTGTTATGTCCAAATAACTCAATTTTAGTTCCATCAGTCCACAGCACCTTATTCCAAACTGAAGCTGGCTTGTCCAAATGTGCTTTAGCATACCTCAAACGACTCTTTTTGTGGCATGGGCGCAGAAAAGGCTTCTGCCGCATTACTCGCCCATACAGCATGTCCTTGTGCAAAGTGCGCTGAATAGTTGAACGATGCACAGTGACACCATCTGCAGCAAGATCATGTTGTAGGTCTTTGGAGCTGGTCTGTGGGTTGGGTTTGACTGTTCTCACCATCCTTCGCCTCTGCTTATCTGAGATTTTTCTTGGCCTGCCACTACGGTGGTCTTCCATTTCCTCACTGTGTTCCTCACAGTAGAAACTGACAACTGAAATCTCTGAGCTAGCTTTTTGTATCCTTCCCCTAAACCACGATGTTGAACAATCTTTGTTTTCAGGTCATTTGACAGTTGTTTTGAGGCTCCCATGTTGCAAGTCTTCAGAGAAGATGCAAAGAGGAGAACAACCTGCAACTGGCCACCTTAAATACCCTTTCTCATGATTCAGGCTTCACCTGTGTATGTAGGTCAAAGGTCAATGAGCTTACCAAACAAATTTTGTGTTCCAATAATTATTGCTAAAGGTATTCAAATCAATAAAACAACAAGGGTGCCCAAATGTATGCACCTGCCCACTTTTGTTTAAGTAATTATTGCACACTTTCTGTACATCTTATAAACTTCATTTCACTTCTTAAATATCACTGTGTCTGTTTGCTATATGATATATTTAATTGAAATTGCTGTTCCGAACAACCAATGATCCATAAAGGAAAATCTTGAAAACGATTAGGGGTGCCCAAACTTTTTCATACCACTGTATGGTGTACACCTCAAATTAATGTTTTTCAAGTGGAGTCTCCTGAAATGTGTAATGTCTGAAATGTAATTGATAAAAAAAACTAATAAATATATCTTTAAGTTAATCTCTAAGTAATTATTATTCATTTTAAAACTATGATTAAAAACACCACACAACCTTAAACAACTGTATCCTTCCACTTGCATATAAACTGAGTTTACCTAACTACACGAGACCAGGGAAAATATAATTAATACACTAATCTGTCTACTTAGTATTTGCAACACCATGATCAAAAACTAATTCTAGAAAGTAATGTCTCTGGAGTCGCCAGAAATTTGTGATGTGAAAATGGGAGTGACAAGTCAAAAAAGATAGTGAATCACTGCCTTAAATCATCTTAAGCGTGTCACCTAAACACAAGAATCAGTCAACTTTTAAACATCCCCAAAAACACTAAATTCCAGGCAAGTAAATTAGGACTGTGGTGAGACAGACAATTCATAATGCGGATGTTCAGCCAAGGAATCTGCAGCAACGGCTTCCAACATCTCACTGATCACATGCTACACTACAAAAAAAAAAAAGTTTCAGGGAAGTAAAATGGGCCAGTATCAAGGAAGTTTTTTTTTTTTTCAACCAAGATGACAGATTATCTTGTTAATGATGTTTCTAAAGAAGATCTCATTCAGAAAACTCAGCTGACCCTCCTAATCAGATTTCACTGCTAATTTTGATTTAAGATCAATAACAGTAAGTAATTTTAAACTTTCACCTCTTTACTAACACACACACACACATATATA